TATATATATGTATATATATGTATATATATATATATGTATATGTATATGTATAACATACACACACACACAGAGCGAGAGGTCTTGTGCAGTATTTCCTGAGCGAGGAAGGTTTCGTTAGTACTTTTACAAGCACATGCAATAACAGTAATGCTGCTGAACCTAACGCACAGCCACATCATTTAATGGAGTAAATGATGGTGTACGCACCACGGTACAGTATACAGTTTTTGGCTCTGAACTGTGCATTAGGTACAGTATACAAATGAAAACATACTTTGAAGGACATCTGTCTCGTTTGGCTTTAGAGCTATTAACCCATTTGTGTATTACCCTATTGCACATTATATGGATACAGTATAAATAAATATGTACAGACATAACCTAAAAATGCAAGGGGTGTGCATTGTCAGTGTGCAGGCGAACATTCAAAAATGTAAGTGTGCATAATGTACATTATATAGATCTAAAGGAGTACCGGATCTGAGATGTATACATTGTCCACTGCTCTAAGCTCACTTTACCGGATTTGTCATCTTGTTTAGTTTTAGAGTTTAGAGTTATTAGACTGTAAGTGAATATGAAGTGCTCATGCGAACATTCAAAAAATAATTAAAATTTGCCTGTAAATAAATGTGGAAGTGTGCAAATTACACCATGAACTCAAAATGCTAAACCAGTATTTCGTTACAGTTGAAATAACCTATTCTTGTAGCTATTATCAAGATTTGGCCCAAATAGTGTAATGGCTTAAACCACCCAAAAAAAAAAAAAAACGGCTTTGTTGTCTTTGTACTGGGCATCAAAATTCATTATGAAACTGCCTGTCTTTTTCATATATCATCTTAGCGTTTAGTGTACAAACAGCAGTTCTTCAAAATACGCTATACAGGCATTCGGTGGGATGCAAAAAAATTAAAAAATAAAAAATCAATCATATGGATGCTGAAAATAATTTAAAAAATATTCAGTTCCATTTTAGGCAGGTTTCATCGTTCACTCACGATGATTCCATTAGCTTTCATTATACATATACCAGGTTTCAGTGTGTGTGTATGTACGTGTGTATCTCGTATACATTCCATAATATATATATATATATATATATATATATATATATATATA